CAAGTACAGTCATATAGCCATATAGTGACCATGACTCGAGCGCTGGACAGACAGACAACGCGGCGCTCATCATCATATTGAGTGATTTTTGTATTTGTTTACGTCTCTGCTGGCCCTGAGGCTCGATTGACCCAAATTATGACACGAATTTAAGTTATCTAAGCTATATATCATTTCAGCGTACAGAAAGAGCTTTAATACATTAGTTTTACCTGTGCGATCTATGTAGAACGATCATTTAAGCCTTTAAAACTGTCTTTAAATGGAGCAACCTCAATATTTCTTTCTTGAGAAAAATATATAAAATATATAAATTATAATTAAAATGTCATATCTTGGCTCTAAATGCTACAGGGAGGACCAAAAAGGCTACAACTAAGCATAGAGTGTGTTCAAATTACAAGTACTTTGGCACTTGAGATCTGATCTACCTAATTTATTTCCCATATACGAGTTTGTTCAGTTTTTACTTAATTTTTATGGGGCAACAAGAGCTCAGTAAATAATTGTTGAGTTCAGCTCTGGCTGGTTTAGTTCTCTAAAAGATTTGAACTTGAAACTCAACAGTTGAAGTAATTATTTAGAAAGCAGCTCGTCTCCATCTGGGAATTGGATATTCTAAGATATGACATTATAAAAAGCTGTTAAATCAGATGATGTCGAATATACTAAAAATATACAGATCTATTTTTACCTTGTACGTGGCTGATATAAAAATGTTTCAGCTGATCATAAATACCATATATTGAGTGAACTTTAATGCTATATTGCTATATATATTGATATAAGTGTTATTTTTCTTATTTATGTATAAATAAGATTTCAATTAAAATCTTGGATAATCGGTAATATATATGGGGTTCCAGCCAAAGACCGGGCAATTAACACAGCTTGATTTTACTCGCTTGCTAAGCAGCAGTTGATTTGATAATGATTCATAAACTAGTTACATGCATACAAATGCGAGGGGTGTTGGAAAAGTTAATGACCTGAACGAATAGACATATAAACTACATATTTAAATATTAAAAAAATAAAACAATTTTGTTTATAAACAATATTTATTATTAAATATGTATATATATTATAATAAGAAAAATTTAATTAAAATAATTTAATTAGAATAAAAAGTAATTAGTGTAAAAAGTAAAAGTAAAATAAATAATTGAAAGTAGTAAACAAAATTATTTTAATTTTTCTTCATATTAATTTGTTTCTAATTTACTCAAAATATTTAATATTAAATTTAAGTTTGCATTTATACTATAATTACATCTCTCAATTGCTTCACTTACACGCTTATGTCTACATTACAGGGTATGTCAAGAGACAACCTATCGAACATGTTCGAATATGCCAAACTCAACTTGTATCTAAGAGTCTTTAAAAATTGTTGGCCAAGCCAGAAAGACAACTTTCAAATTAACTTTTTCGCATAGTGGAGGCGCGGCTTCAGCAACGAATTCGAGTTCGAATTCGAGCTCGACATCCAGTTCAATTTCAGCCTTTTTAGTTCTCTGTGGGGCTCCACTTAATTCGAGTCTTTGTCAAGAGCAATTCATTTCGAGCTCGTTTGCTTTATTGATGGCTATGCGAAGGTCGGAAGTCTTTACATTGATTTGAATTAAAGCATTTCTGTAATATTTTTTGCAGCTTTCAATATGAACACCGCCTGCATTGCTGTGGGCGTACTCTTGTGCACGGGCGTGGCTGTGGCTAAAGATAATCTACGTGTGGCCTACGAGTGGCGGGAAATGGACTTCCAATACGATTCACCCGATCAGAGGTGGTCGGCTATAGAGCGCGGGGCCTTCAATCCGGCTAATGTAATCCCCTTCGGATTGGAGGTCTATCGCCAGCGATTGTTCGTAACGCTGCCCAGATGGCGAAACGGTGTGCCCGCCTCATTGGCCTACCTTGATCTTAATGGTAAGTACAGCCAGAGGAAAGACTTCGCTACCCTCCACTAGACCGACATCTACTTACATCCAATTGCGGTTTTGTTTATGCGAGAGAATTGTTCTGCACTGAGATCCCAGCTATAACATTGTCTTACGCGTGGGAGCTGTTCGACTAGTTGGTTAAATTTGCATAGTTGCTTTGCTAGAGATGGGAGATGGTGATATTAAAACTATCTAAATAATGTTTTAGATGTTGTGGCCGCTTGCTATGAGAGCTAGAGATTCGATTTGGAAGTAAAAATTGTAAGTTCAGCTTGTAAGCCTTTTATTCCAAAGTTAGAATAAACCTATAATAACAGATATTAATAGTTAGACAGATGATGATGATCGTGAATTGAATATGAATATGTATATATTCGTAGTTCAATTGTCTCTAGGCCAATCTCAAGCCCTCTCTATAGCTAGAGGTATACAATTTGGAGTAGAGTAGAGTAGCGGTAGAGCAATAAACCAATGATTAGTTATATTAATTTATCGCTCTAGTTCATTGAGCCTATAGCAAATCAGAAAATTCTATATCTTTTAAAGTCACACTGACCTCAAATTTCAGTTTTACTGCTCAATCACTGCGTACCTCCCTTATAGATGGTCTGCTCTGACTTTTTTTCATAAAAAAATCCTTTTAAATGAACTCAAGCTAAAGAGTTTTTAGCCATGAACTTGGCCTAGTTCACTTCATTATACCATTTTCATATACAAATTGTGTTCGTGTCACGCTATCGCATCTATGCAATACTCGTTCTAGACAATTTAGCTGTCTAGCTTTCGCATTTGTTGCCATTAATTGCCTGTTGAGAGTTCTGGGATATTCGCACCGCTTACGTAATTAAAATGCTGTAAGCCCACAACAAACAACAGCAGAAGCGATACAACAACAAGAAAAGCAAAAACAAAAAAAAAAAACAAAAACAAATAAACAACAACAGCATAATAAATTGAGTAAATAAACAAATGCAAAAGAATATGGAAGACTACATGGATCGTAGCTGTATATATGAAATATACATACATATATATTTATTTTTGATACATACATTGGTAGGAAACATTTATTCTCTTGGAGCAACGTAAATATGAAGAGTATGTGTATATATCTATATCTATATCGATATCTATATCTATGAATATATGTATATATATTTATATTCTATAGATCAGATCGAATTGAAAAGGTAAATTCACATACCTCGATTCCGAGTGTGAGAAAATATTTATTTGAATTTACGAAAATTTATAATGCGTAGCAGTCGGTATCTTAGAGCAGATAAAGCATATATACTCTCGATCAGTATATGGCTAATTATATATTAGA